CTGGAAGGAGCTTGGCTGGCTCACCTAGTCAACCAATCCTCGACGCATAAAGGACCACTTTGAGTCTAAATGCGGAAACCGAAGCCCACAACCAATCCCTTATTTTTTTATTGTGTGTGACAAAGCTTGGGGTAAAGATTTTATTATTAGTCATTATAATATTTTTAAGTTATTATAAAATAATCCCACTGTATTACCTTCACAAATCATTAAGTTTTCTATTACATTTTGTTTTTAGTTTTTTTTAACTATTTGAGTTTAAATTTAAAAATACTGTTTTTTTTTTGTTGACGGGGTGAAAAATCCCTTCGGATATCCTGCACCTCGGGGGCTCAGGAGCCAGGAGTATGTGGTGATTCCACTAAAAACCACCCCGACGGCCAGCCTTAAGTGTCCTACTCTCTGGGGAGGACCCGGACCATGTTATTTCAGGCCCTCCCCGAATTGACACCATGCCTAATCAGGCCCTATCCCAGGGGAGTCCAATGATTGCTGGCGGCGACAGGTCTCATCCGATTCGGACGACCAGGACCTCGCGTTCAGACGCCCACGTGGGGCAGTCTTCCAGCGTATGCTGGGCGGAGTCCCAGTCGGCTGCGCAGTGCTGGCATTGTGACGTCTCCTCGCGTCCAATCCGATTCAGGTACTCCCGAAGCAACCATGCCCAGTGAGTACCTGCGTCAGTCGGTAGGAGACGTGACCTCCCTCCCTAAGTGTATTTAAGGTTATAGTTAGGACATTATTATTTCAATTAATTATTATTATTATTTAATATTATTTAAAGTACATAATAAAGATTTACTTATACTCGTAATTAATATATATTTCATTATTTACTCGTTGTTAATATATAGTTTACCTGTCACAAATTACATTATTGTACACATTTTCACAAGAAAGCATTCCAGATGTTGGTAAGTTGTTAGTCAAGCCACACCATACAAAATAAATGCATTATTTTATTTTGAATACTGTCTAAATTCGAGGTGTAGATACACAATACATATACCTTAATCCATTTATCTGTTGTTTACCAATATGTCGCAATACAATATCAGTAAGACACAAATAAGTTTCTGTTTTTTGTATTTTTAATGATTAGTTAGTAAATCACTGATTACGACTCGATAATTTAAAATAATTCCTAAATCAAGCAGTCTACGGAGGTAGCATGAAATGATGGTAGCTACACAAAAGCTTACAATACTTAATTAATAGTTAGAACGGCTAGAATTTTGCAAGTAATCAAAGTTAATCTATAGGAGAAAAACGAGAACTTTTTCAAAATGAGATTTATGTCGAAACCAAACCTTGTCAGGCTTTTTAATTAAAATATTGTATGTGATATGGCGTCACACAAAAATACCGATATCATGAAAAGAACAGATGCCAAAAGACCGCGGTTAGGTACTGCTACAATGTAGGCATTTTGTTGACAAGAGTGAAATGAAGGGGAGATGGAGTTTTAGATTGATATCCTTAAGCCAAGATTTCTGATTATTTTCTCGCTTAGTCATTGAAAAACTAGTGACTTGAGTAACATAACATATTACTTTACCTACCCTAAAAAGTGAGCCCAAACTCAATTTTAATAGAGAATTCAACGTTTTATGAAGATTCAGATCAATTTAAACAATACCATTATGTTCCTTCGTAGTAATGCAATTGCTCATTAAGTAAACAATTATATTATCATAATACATAAATGAGTCAGAAACAAAATGATTTATTACATCGTTTAATGGTTATCTACACAAAAGTAGATAAAGCACGCGCTTTTAAGAATGGATAAAATTTGAATAAGAAAAGTCAAAAATTTGTAAACAGTAAATGAAGTGACATGTACATCATACTTTTAGGTTAAGTTTAGTCTTTATTTTCGAAACGGCCTATCTAAAATTACGTGTATCTTTGTATTATTTATTACCTGGATTATCATCAAACAGATATGGAAAGGTGTGGCCTAATATTAGACTTGTGCAGTAAACCCTGTAAATAACTTGACTGATAAAGGTAATAAATATTGTTATTCAAGGATGTTGATAGCATATCCAGATTTTTCTGGAAATTCTGCATTGAAAATACAAAAATCCTTGAAATTGACCTGGAAATTCATTATGTTATTTAGAAATCTGCACCTAGTAAAAGCATTGCATTAGAAAATACAAAAATGTAATCTTTTTTAAGCTAATTCTACACTTATGGGGTCAAATTCACACTTTTTCGTAACCTGTATAGACAAAGACTATGAGAATATATACTAATTTAAGTCAATATCAACTTGGATCTAGTTTTATTTAGCGATCTCAAAATTCTCGATTATACGGCATTCAAACATAAAACTAAGGTAATTTTTGAACTTAACATAACAACAACTTTATGGTCGGTACTTTAAAATAAGCAGTTATCAGACATCATCCATGATTATAGACATCATCAAAGATTTCCTACCTTTTTCTCATTTGAGATTGGAGTTGGCGTAATGTGTAACTTTGCAAGGGGTTTTTTTCTGCTTTTTTATGGTCTACCATCAAGGAATGAAGCCGTTTTTCCTTGGGAATGTAATCGTTAAAAAGTCTATTGAGGTAAGGAAATCGAATAGAGCGAATATAAAGAAGCCCTGACTAAATCTTAGTTGCTTTTCACCGAGTGAGCGAGGTTACTGGAGCCTAAACCCTTTCGTCTCCCCCTGATTCTTCTGAAAAGTCGTCGACGCACTTGTTTGAGGCTCTTGAGTCGCAGGTGTCCATGGGCGGCGGTAGTCACTTACCATCAGAAGAACCGTCTATTCGTTTGTTTCCCTATATCTTAAAAAGAAAACCTGGTTAATAGAGATCTAAAGGCCAATTCTCGTAATAATAGTTCGGTCACAATTCAGTTCCAATCATCTCTCGAAAAGGAATTTTCGTAGCAAACTATGAAACATCCATCGTATTGTAACCGAAAGTTGAATCGGTAATCTGCTAGTCTTGGTAGTTTACTACTAAAATTCCTTTTATGACAGTTGCGAGATCGAGAGTTGATCAGAACTGAATTGTGACCGAACTTTAATTACGAGAATTGGCCTTCTGGCCACAGTCGTATGTGCACTCAAATTAAATAACTTGCTAACATTAAATTGGCTATGTAATTTTATGTACATATACATATGTTTACACCGGTCATAATTTAGGTCTGTAATGATTATATCCGCTTTAGCTATCGCCCGAAACATTAATACACAAATTAACAACTATACGTTTACATGCGGTGGATTACATTATCTTATATTAACATTTGCAACACATTAACGAGTTTCTGTAGAGAATCAGAGCGACATAATGTGTTGTTTAATATTGAAATTACTGGACACTTCACGTTATACTGTTTCATAGAATAGTACTGATAGTTTATTTGCCATAACATTTTGTCTCCTTAAACTATATAGCTGACCCTCGCAACTGCACATACGTATAAATTTTTCTCGTTCTTGCAAACATTTTTCATTGATGCTTATCTCCTATTGGTCGTAGCGTAATATTATATAGCCTATAGCCTTCCCCAAAAAGTGGGCTATCCAACAGTAAAATACTTTTTTTAATTCGAACCAGTAGTTCATGAGATTCGTGCACCCAACCATACAAACGAAGTCTTCAGCTTTAGGTAAAATATTGGATAGATAATGGTTTTCTTTGTCAAATAACGTTCAGCATGATTTAATAAAGTCCGTAAAGTGTTTTGTTTTGGCTGGTGAGCCTGTTCTCTAACGTAAGCTCTTCCCGGCCGGACTTCTCCTACGTTGTGTTTTCTTTACATGCTACCCTGTCAATTTAAAGTTATTGCATTTATTTGAGGAAATGTACGCTTGTGTTAGCGGAAAAACTTAAAATAAAATACAGGATTAAATATTCTTTTAAAGTTCATTAGCAAATCCTTTTAATGTTAAGCTATGAATTCTTTAAAAAAAACAGTATTACATTTTAGGCTCAAAACTGTTAAATAATTTATGTTTGACCTAAGTATGTAAATATATATATTATGTATAACACTTTAAAGTTCTCTGTCTCTACTTGTTAATTATAAGGTCAATGCTTTGACAGCTGTCAAGGTCAGTCAGTATCATTTGTTCTAATTTTACCTAATCCAGTTTTGGTTCACACTATATAAGAATAGTTCTCAATTTTTTTTTAGCTAAAGTAATTTAGATATAAAAAGACACTAATTTAAGAAGTTTTCACTGTGATAGAGTGTATGTATTGCCATTCATTTCTTTTTTTGTCAGTTACTAAAGAACGTAACTAAGCCGGAACTTGTAAAATTTTGCATTTGTACAGCTACATTCTGATTCTACAAGTGATGAGAACAAATACATACTATTACTGCATAAGTATTAAATATTTTTAGTGCAGTTAAAAAGCCTTTCGGGTTAAAATATATTAAAATTGATAAGTCTCACAGTGGGGAGAAATGCTTCTGCACAAATAAGCCAGCTCGTCCGGATTGTTACCACGGTCTCACAGAGAACCGGTGTAAGGCAATTCTTTCGTTACTTTTCACTGAATGAATGAGGTCACCGGAGCTCAACACCCTCCCTCCCACCATGAGGGAGGAGGCACTCAAAGGTCGGCAAGGTCATTGTCTCTCTTGAGGTACATGTGTCCATTGGCGGCGGTAGTCACTTATCATCTGCTCGTTTGCTTTCTATATCATAAAAAAGGAGATAATACACTAGACTTGTTACTTGAGTCCTGGAGACTTTTAACTACATATATTTTAGTTACTGAGGACTCAAGTGACAAGTCTAAACGTAGGAAATATTAAGAGTTTAGAATCGGCGATTTAAATGGCGTCAACGTGTTAGGTAATTAAAAAAATGGAATGAGTTTTGTTGCTATAATTAGAAAATGTTTTGCTCTAAAACAGTATTATGATAAACTTGTTTTTATTAATTAGGATTAATAGAATTTCTCTCTCACAAAAAACGATTTAAAATTATATCTTTGTGTTTTCTTCAATCACAGGCAGTGGAGCAAGAAATATCCAATATGCATAATATTAAACGAAAAAGAAAAGATTCAAGTCTTAGAGAAAGAGAATTCTGCGACAGAGAAGAAAGCTACTGAATCTCCTTCTGAAAAGAAAAAGGAACAACACGAAATGGAAACTGAGACGAATGCTAGCCCTGAGAAAAAAAAGAAATTTGTTTGGAGAAGAAAAGATAAGAGGTATAGAAATATAATCATACAAAAAAGAAGATTTACTTTCTTATTGTTTTTACACGTTGTATTTAGTGAATCTAGCTTTTATAGTTCAGTTGTTCAGGCGTATCATGATTGTTATATTATTTCAGTATTACTCATCCGGAAGCAGAACCTGGGAAAGAAGGTCTCAGACATAGACTAGTTCGAAAAATGCACAGAGGTATGTATCTAATATTTATCTATACTGTCTGGGTCTTTTCTGTCTGCTATTTGTGTACATACAGATAATAATAATAATAACTTTACACACCTCACACACGCCCATCTAATTCCAAACTAGACAGAGCTTGTGCTGTGGTAACCAGACTGCTGATACACATACTTTTATATTTCTAAATACATACATATAGATAAATTACACCCAGACACAGAACACATGATCGTGCTCATTACACAATTATTTGTCCTAGGTGGGAATCGAACCCACGACCTCTGAATTAGCAGTCAGGGTCACTAACCACTAGACCAACACGCCAGTCAATAAATATAATATAATACAGCTATAAAGTACGGATGTTTATCCAGCACATGTTTTAATTAAATTAATGTAATGAAAAATAAGTTATTACTGCTAATTATACAAAATTGTATTTCTTGGAGTATTAATACTAAACAGGAATAGTGTTTTTTATACTTAAGGAAAAATGTGCTCTAACTAGATGATCTGACGGTCAAGTAGTTAAATTATATTTTATCCATATTTTATATCTTTCCTGATGAAAAAAAAATGTTTTCAGTTTACCCAAGTTTTACTTTCTTTTACAGCAAACAAACCTAGCTAAAACCGTCCTATAGACATATACGTAAATGTAAAATAAACATTTCGGCATGGTTGCTCAAATATGTATACAACATTGCAATTATCTTTTCACCTTCGGTTAGTATTAGCTCGCCGTGACTCACCCTTAATTATATATCACGTTAGCACTTCTATTATTATATGATTTACAGACAAAAAATCTGACATAACGACCACGGCTACTGGCACCGAACCCGAAGAAACTCAGAGCCAAAGCACAGTACACACGGACACGATAGTGCTTGAAGAGCTTCACGACCCCGATGTAGATCTCGGGTCTAATTCAGCTACCAGTACAAAGGAAGAAGTTGACGAAGAAATTGATGAAACTGATTTGACTAAAATAAAAGATTTTTTGGAAGAAGCCGTGAGTATAATCTATCTAGATAAATATATGTAAAAAAAAAATAAGTTGGCTTGTGTACTCAAAAAGTTCTGCACCGATTGAGCTCAAATTTTGACACGATATACAACACGCTTTAAAGATGCTCTATATTTTGCAACCACAATATGCCACAGCGAAGCATGGCAGGGTATAGCTAAGATAAGAAACTTTTCCGAACATCGCATAATACAACCAAAGGCTTTGTAATTCTTGAATAAGTTGTTTTACCTGAATCGTGTCTCAGTAATGAACTAATGTATATAGAATCTCGTATTGAATCCCTGCCAGTATTTACAAATTGTCATAAATAAATTGTTTGGGTGTTTTTCAAGTGTATTTGTTTGCCAGGAGCGTGAAGCAGGACCTGACGCGTCGGAGGACGGCGAGTGGAGCGTGCGCGTGCGACACACAACGGACTCGTACTCGCATCTATATCTGTTCTCGCGCACTGGACGCGACAAACACGAGTGGTGAGTAAAAAAACTGTAGAGTAGAAATGAGAGACTAGGAGGTGTTATAAGAAAATGGTGGCAAGTTACTACACATTATCCACACTTTTAAATGCTAAAAGTACCTACCTAGGCAATTCTTTTAAATCTACTTGAGGTGAAATATACTAAAGTATACTGATATATATCTAAATTTAAAATTAATATCAAAATGATATAACATTACTTCTCCAACCTTTAACTTCTTAAATAATAATAATAATCTGTAAAAAAATGTAGACTCCACCTAATATATTATTGAATGACGTCAGGTATCGCCGCTTTATAATAGCGATATCAGAAGCGAACTCTGCGTCAGCGGAAAACTCAACCACCGAGGACAAGACTGCCAGTGACGCTCCTGCTGAAAGTAAAGAAGGCGCCGAGATGGCTATATATAAACTCACTGAGAAAGAAACTGTTGCCTTTGCTAAGTCGACTGTAAGTTAAATGTACATACACTGATATATTATATATTCGCGTTAGGAAAATAGTGACGCATCGATCAAGCCCCGCGCCCTAACCAATAAGGTTCCAAGAAATTATCACATCACATCAACAGCCTTTAATAGTCCACTGCTGGACATAGGTATCTCCTTAGAAAGGAGGTTTTGGCCTACTACACCACGCTGGCCAGACGGGTTGGTATAGGGTTTGTGTCAAGTTTATCTTCTTTTTGCAGTGCTGGTGTCCTGTGTTGTTTAGCGCCCTTAGTCGGCTCTTACGACACCCACGGGATGAATTGGAGTAGTGACATTCAGTCACTACACGGACCAAGAAATTATCGTTTCGTACGAAAGCTTGGATCGTATCGGTCCGGAAATAACGCAGCCGATAACGACTGATTGATTAAGGTTGGCAACGGCGTAAGGCTTGATCGATACCTCACTTTTTTCTTAACGCAAATGGTGTATACGCCGTTTCGCCCTACACGTACGTGACCGTGCATTGGCTATTGTCTGAAAATCCGAGCTGTCGAACCGATTAAGATTAAATTTTCGAGCAAAATTCTGTTGTTATTCTAAAGTCTTAAAAACATTATATCGTTTCAGAATAAAACAGACTCCCTTTCTGAAGGCGGAGGGGTTACGATTACATCATTCGCTCAATCTATTCCTGAGTCTGATAATTATGAGAAGACATTTTGGCCATATCTCCTTAAGATTATACAGGTGAAATATACTTTATTAATACAGCTTAGAAATTATTATTTGAGAGGAAATCTGTTTCAATTTGTACATTGCTAATCAAGGAAGTATTACAGAACTCATCGTAATCAAAATAGGAAAACAAAAATGTTTAACATGACAAAGTTTGATAGGTATAATAATATAGGCAAGAACTAATTAACCCATAAAGCATTTTCTGCTGAAGTATCTAGATTTAACTTAATGGTGCGTGATACAGTGCCACCAGTTGACGCTCAGACAGACGTCGGAAGTGGCCGTCATGTGTCAGATTGAGCCCTCGCCTCGAGACCGCTCCAAGAGCAAAAAGAAAAGAAAAGATGTAATTGATGTTTGTGCTTTTATTTATTTTATGTTTTTGTACTATCAGTGGTAGACTTGTGATGTTTTAGTAACTACGAGTATACATTTTGAACCTACTTTTTACCTGAGTTTCGAAAGTTTATTTTTACGTGTATTTTTATTTATTTAGTTGTACTTTTTTTAGTTTATTTATTAGTTTATTCTTATTGTTGAATTTTAAAAGTGAGGTTAGACCTTGTATTTGGAGTTAACTCCTTAATAAGGCGACCGGTATGAAAATAATATGAAGAGTAAAATGTAGTGCGAATGACCTCGTTACGTTTTTTGTGCGCAACCTATCGTGCGCGCCTTTCACATGTGTGTATTACTTGTATACTTGTGTGCAGCCGAATCGTTCTTCACGAGTAAAGTCGTGTGTCGAAGCTGACACACACACTTTTTGGATAAGTTTGTATCTCTGAGAGGTGTAACATATAGATGTATGTTTAAAACGTAGATTTTATTTTGTTTGCTACGATTGCGTAATTTGTACTGTGAAGTTGATAGGTAGGAGAGTACGTAATGTACCTATTTGTACTACGTATTTATATAGATATTCAAGTTCTTCAATGCAATAACACCAATATAAAACACTATCTAACGACTTCACTGCTGTTCTATTTCTCTCTAATACACTTGAATATTTAATAATAGGAATTTGTATAATATCATTATATTTATTTATCTGGCCTATGTATAAATGGACCGGTGGAAAAATTGGGTATAGGTAATAAATCAAATTAACTACAATAAGCACGATTAAGCCCAAAATCGAACTAAGTGGCGTGCAATGGGAGAGGCATATGTCCAGCAAGTGGACTGCGATAGGCTGATGATGATGATGATGATGAGTACGATTATTTGTTCTGTGTCTGGGTTCTCTGTTCTGTATCTATAATATCTATGTATTTGGAAATTAGGTTTAAAAGCAGTCTGGTTGCGGTTTTGATGCGTCCATTGTCAAGTTATTGTTTTGTTTGAACTATTTGTTAATATTTAAAAAGATAATAAAATCGAACACAAGTAAGAAATATTAAAATTGTCCGTCTTGTCTTATTTTTTATAGAGTTGTATATAATGTGATTTAACATTTGTAGAACAAGACTGTGTCCCCCGACTGCGAGTGTCGGTTGTTGCCGGCAGAAGTGACGTGGATAAACGCCGTGTTAGCGAGGGTGGTTTTCGACATCATGCGGGACCCCATCATGATTAAACGTTTACAGGACAGAATACAGAGAAAACTCAACACGTTGAAGGTTTGTATTATATACGTATGCGTATTTATTATGAGCTTTTAGTTTTATACATCTGATGTCTAATGTACTCATTGATTTATTTTTTAAGTTTTTGAACGAAGTTTTGATGAACGGATGGAGACCGAAATGTGTAACAAGACTTTTTCCGACACTTCTTGCTATACTTCCGACCGGGAGTCCATAGACACACTATATATATATATATTCTCTATATCGAAAAGAAAAACCGTCTCATACGCAATTTAGTGAGCAATTTAAGCAGTGTATCTTTACATATTCTTCATAGTTGTGTGTCAATATATGAAATCGAAAAGGGGTTTACGTAAGATCGACCAATACGACCAATTTAGTAATATTGACGCAGTGACTAGTCTAGATACATAAAAAATTCTATAGAAATGACGATGATAATGGAACGGGTTCGGTTCCAGCTTAGTGCTAATATTTGTATATTTGAATTGGTTGTCTTTTGCATTGAAACATTGATATAAAATGTATGTATTTCATATCATCATCATAATCAACGGCCTTTACTAGTCCACTGCTGGACATAGGTCTCTCCTTAGAAAGGAGGTTTTGGCCTACTATAAAACGTTGGCCAGACGGGTTGGTGTAGGGTTTGTTTCAAGTTTTCCTTCTCTCTGCAGTGCTGTTGACCTGCGTAGTTTGTTCCCTTAGTCGCCTCTTACGACACCCACGAGATGAATGGGGTGGTGAAACACTGTATTCTTAATCCGTAATCACACGGACAATATGTATCTAGAAAAAGGAAATTATATTTATGTTCTGGAGTTGTAGTAGAATATCGTTAGTTTGGGTTTTAAAAACGCGCAATAACATGTCTTCGAATATTATTATATTCATACAAGAGTAAAAGTATTTTAAACAAAAGCACAGACGGTGATATAAATTTTGGAATACTGAAATTTTATACGTAGAAGGACACAAACCTAAAATTTATGTAAAAAAATATCCTGTAAAGATAATTATGTAAAACGGCTACATAAAGCTATAGATAGAGATCCGGTATCGATACAGTAGTTATAGGTTAAAGTTCAATGATATAATAATGGGTGGCGTGTGTGTGTGTGTGTGTGTCGCAGCTGCCGTCGTTCATGTCGCCGCTGGTGGTGACGGAGCTGTCGCTGGCGGGCGCGTGCCCGCTGCTGGAGCGCGTGGCGGCGCCGGCGTGCGACGCGCGCGGCCTGTGGCTCGACGCAGACCTGCGCTACGACGGCGGCGCCTACATCGCGCTGCTCACGCAGATCAACCTCATGAAGCTCAAGGAGAAGAGTGAGTGCGCCCGACCCGCCGCCCCGCCGCCCCGCCACTGCTGCCGGGGCAAACGACCGGACGGCTCACCTGACAGTAGAGGGGAAGGGGGGGGGGGGTTCAATCTACTGAGTACCATTACCAAATATTGATTATTAAATTATTTGTATTTCAATTCCACAGATGTCACGTTAGAAGAACAATTATTACCGCCCAAGAAACACTTAGACACTGGACGCCCCGGCATATTTACAGAGAAGCAACTGAGGGTAACGAATATTTTCTTTATCTTTACACAGAGGGTAACATCACAACCGCTTACGTAACAGACGCCAAGACTTAGATGATTACTCATCTCCGCGATTCAAATTCTCGAGAGTTATACAACGTTAACCGAGTAAGTACGCGGTTTTTAGATTTACCATTAAACATTGTAAACTACAATGTTTCAATCCTTAACCTAAAAACGTTCGCTCGCTCGCTCGGTCAACTCTATCACTGTTTACCGTAAATAATGAGTGATGGTGAAACATTTACGTCATCTCGACAACAAACACGAGATCATATCGCATTGTCTAGAAATTAGTCAAGGTCAACAATTATTATTGAAAATTTTATTTATTTTTAGATGAGCAAACCAGCGATATTCGACAGCGACGTGGAAGACTCTGCGGAGTCGAGTAGCGACGACGAGAGCCCGTCCGTACACCCCATCGACAGCAACGAGAACATCGCATTGGTAGACTTGTATGTTACTTTATTTTATATGTACTTGATATCGAGACCAACAAAAAACATTTTTTTTTGCCTTTTAAGGTTCCGTACCTAATATGGGGTTTCCATGCAAGAAACGTGATTTTTTTGCTCGTTTTTGCTCGATATTGATAACGGCAATAGGTAGACGCTTGAAACATTCACAAAATATTTAGTTATATATTATGTATTCACTTTCAAAATAAATAATTAAATTAAAGAAATATTTACGTGGGGGGGGGGGGGGGGTTTCCATACAACAAACGTGTGGTTTTTTTTGTCGTTTTCATAGATAATGGTACGGAACCCTTCGTGCGCGAGTCCGACTCGCACTTGGCCGGTTTTTTTAATCTGTTACTTTAATTTGTTAGTGCACTTTATTATACGCCACAGACTACACAATATGTTTTCGGGACTATTTACATTACAATACCGTTAGCGATGATATTGTACAAAATTAAAGTTATTCATAACCAAATCCTTTTTTTAACCGACTTCAAAAAGGAAGATCAATTATCAATTTATATTTTTTATGTACGTTGGGCATAACTCCGTCATATACAGACGAATTTTCAAAATTCTTTTTTGTTCCAAAGACGTTTATTTCGAAATGGTCCCATTTAAATTTAATATAGATCTAATGATGAGTTGCCTAGACAGACAACGGAACTCCTCAAAAAATGACAGCAAATGAACCGCGATTGCTGCTAGGTGCTTCATTATTGTTTGAAGTCGGTTCACCTTTTTCTTCAAGGATTTATTATTAAAGCAAGTAAATGATTATAATTGAAATTAATTAAGGTGGTAAAGAACCTTCCCCTTGCCGTTGGACACGTATCGATTGTTAATGTTAATATTATTCTTTTCATACAGACCGCCAGCTCCTTCACAAACTGAACAAGGAGGTTCTTCTAAGAAAAAGTTTCTACGCATGGTCGACAAAATTGCCACAAATAAGTACTTCCAACAGGTAAGTACTTAAAGCACGCTCAAGCCAAATACTGCGTTAGTAAAATTTAGACACATATTTATTTTTGATTGTCATTATTGGTAAGGGAAAAAACTTACGGGTTCACGTCACCGATGACCTCGACGTACTCGTGACGTGTCCCACAGCGACTCGCAGTTCCATTGTTTTGAGTCTTCACTTCTGTCGGCAATCCTTATGATTGTTTATTATATTTATGACTAGCTGCCACCCGCGACTTCGTTCGCCTGGAATTTAAAAAGCGCTGCTTTAGTGGTGTAGTAGTATGAGGCCTCGGATTCGATTCCCGGACAGGGCAGAAATTTATAGAGTTTTTCTAAGAGGAAAAAAAACCAAGTTACTCCTAATATAGACAGCTACCTGGTAGTAAAATATTATCAAAATCGGTCCTGTCATATTAAGAGAAGCGTGGGCAGTACGGGCCGCCTCGATTGGAGTGATACCTCGGCTCACATAAAGCCAGTGTTAAGCCATTCTTTTGTTGCTATTCACCGGGTGAGTGAGTTGCAGATGACCATGGTCCGCTCTAATCACTTACTATCAGGTGAACCGTCTCTTTGTTTGCGCTCTAGCTTCTTCTTCAGCCTATTGCCGTCCACTGCGGAACGAAGGCCTACAGTAAATAAATATTATAAAGAAGAAAAACTGTTTTGATTTAACTTACGTCCATAAATCGTCCTCTTTTCGTCGTGTAGGTACCTTGTTTTTAAAAGTATTTTTCTTTGAATCGTGACTTCAACTTAACTTTAACTGACATTACTATTTGACAAACCACAAGGTGTTCTATCGTTAAGGCTTGCTGTTGTTGGTGTATATTAGGTACCTAGGAAACCACCTTAAAGAAACATCCCACCTGATGAAAATACATTACTTTTATCTTCGATCAGTTTTCAAATAATATTTTCGTATGTCTAACACAACGCCATGTAATTTCAAACTAAGCAGAGCTTGTACTATGAAAGCTAGATTGATGATGTACGATTACCGCAGGTAACTGACTACAAATATGTGAAGCGAGCTATGGAGGGACTCTCTAACACAGACATCAAGTTACACCTAGAGATCCACGGACTAGAAGGACGCCTCGCGTTTAATTTACCACCTCCCCCGCACGACAGAATGTGGGTCGGGTATGTAATTATGTTAATTCATTTATAGTATGTCTTATTTATGGCAACTTAATCAGCCAAAGATTAAAGGAATTGTTTCGAGTTTAAAATCCGTCAAAAATATTCTAGCGATTACTGTAACTGCTAAAAGTGTTTTTCAACATTTGAATTTTTGCCCGCATACAGGTTCAGAACAAATCCACAACTAGTGTTAAAAGCGCGGCCAGCAGTAGGCGCTCGCACTCTTCGCTTTGCCCACATCAGCAACTGGATCGAACAGAAACTCAGCAAGGAGTTCGAGAAAGTTTTGGTCCTTCCGAACATGGAGGACATTATCGTTGACATAATGACTCCTACACCCGTACAATTCGAATAGAAAAAACCTACCGACGTACGTACGTATACGTTAGTCATACACGCGTTTTTTTTATGTAATCTATGTACTGTTTGTATGTAGTGAGTATTGTGATAAATATACTCATTAGATTTCGGCCATTCATTTATAGTCTCTATGCGTTGTTTCTGCCATAGGTTTCCTACGCTTATAGAACTTAATACGGGACAGAAAAAATAGATTAATGGGACGATAACTTACTTGGACTTAACTATAATTAACTAATTGCGACACTTACAACGACTAAGACATCATTCTGGTCGGCACTATTTTGTTTACTCTCAAACAACTTAATGCAAATATATATAATGTGGGTAATTAGCCTAATTGATTGTCTTGTAAGAGTTAGGGTTTATGTCCTTACGAGCAGTCCTTATCTGTCTCTAGATTTTTTTTTTAACCTGTGTAAGAAGACTACTGACATAGGTCTGTTCTGTTACTGTTTCTATGATCTGTTGGTCTTTGCAGCGATTCGAATAATTAAATAGGCGAGTGCCTAATTTAATACGTTTGCATCCATAAAAATATTTAGTTTAAAATAATGAGTTGGACGGCTTATGAAATTTTAAAAGGGTACTAACATAAATGAGGTTACGAGTTGAAGAAAAGATTCATTTTAGAGTGTATAATAATTAAAACGCAGAGATAATTTTTATTACAGAAACAATACTGTAATTAAATTAACAAAAGTTCAACTAAGGACATCGTGAAATAAACTAATTGTAACGTACACAGTAGAGAGATGTTATAGCAATTAACTTCGGGCAATGCTTAGAATATAAACATGTAATTACAATACTATGGTAACAATACATTAAGAGATTAAATAAACGAAACTAAACTTCAACAATTAGTATAATATACACTGTTATCTAAACATTAATTTCAAATAAAATATATATATATCTAGAATACGATTTGAAATTTAAAAATCTAAAATTTCATATTTTGAGGCCATATTATAAAAGTGATTTTAATTGATTTATTTTAATTGTTATTTATAAAATCTTTTATAGAGGTAACTTACTAAATATGCAGGCCTACTGCTTTCTGTACATCCTAGCAATTACCCAATTCTGAGTAATAACTTTTCTTCACTTTAATGCTTATTCAGACTTGCAGCCTGCAAGAATCCCGAAGTAATAATTAAAAAAAAACAAGTTTCGGTTTGTACGATATCAAATTTAGAAATGAGAATTTAATTACGAACACTATATCCCGACCGTCAGTCGATTAAAAGTAACAAATCTTTTATCAAAGTAAATCTTATACACGGTTTGTTTACGTAGTGCACTGCAAATTTTGAGTTTCCTTCCTTCAAGCGACTGCAAGCAGTCACATCAAATATTTAGTGTTATATCAAGCGCAAGTATACTTAGATGCCTATCTCTGAGACTCGTATTATTTATGTATATTACGATTTAGAGCTTATGTTCATCAAGGTGAATTCGATCGTATTTCTTATTTATTTACTGTGATGTTTTAAATAGATAATTAGTTTTTAGTGTTCTTCTTCGACTCTTATGCTGTGAAACGTTATGAAGTATACCTTGTCGGAAGTATTACTTTTTCTTCCACTGTGGATTCATTTTGAGGAAGTGTATAGTTGTGTTCGAATGACAATTATGATAAATGTAACATTGTAAAGAACGAGCTTCCTCGCGTTAAATAACTAGTTTCGACAATAATTCCGTCTTAACCTGTTACTCCCAATAATATCTTATACCAAATTTTATATAAAGAAAATTAGAACGAAAAAATATAATATTGGTCTATATCAATAATATTTTGTAGAATACTGACTTTAAATGTATGTATAGATGTTAAATTTCATTAATATTCACTAGTAGTGAACAACTCTAAATTTATTGTATCGGTTTGATCTTGGTATGTATCTAATCTTTCAATCTCTGGCACTGAAATTTATATTTCTAAATTACTTTTTTCTAAATTTATCGCACAACTAATAAACTATATCGGCCTATGCGTCCCTTTTTATGTATTGAACATTTTATAATTATTATTTTTACGTACTTCGTTTATAGCTGTCTATTACAAGTTAAGGTGTGATCATCGACTTATTTGGTAGACAGCTAAGGCAATTATTGATGAGTGGTATCTATAGTGCGTGCAGAATATGTGGAGATCGTTTGGAACTGAAGGCTGAATGTAACTTGCTCATTTGTCTCGGCGGGTACCATACAGAGTGCGTGTGTTTACTTGTACGAATTTAATAAAATACGAAAATTTAGGTTTTTTATAAATTACAGAATAAATTATATTTAAAGTATACATTATAATCTTTAATGTTTATATCTGAAAACATATTTAAACGAAAAGGCTATCTAATTAATTCTGTAATTTAATTTGACTTGTTGCGCAGTTTAAATAATAAAATTTTGTATTGCTATATCATTCATGTAACAAATGCCGAGGTACCCATTGTAATATAGACTTGTTGTTTTGTAATTTTACATAAGTCTAAAGTCTTATGAATGTTTGGATCAATATTGTTACCTAAGTCCACTGTTGGATATATTTTTTTAGTATAAACTAACCTAACTAACTACCTACGGTATTGAAGTTTTGAAGTAACAATAATTCATCATAGATACCCTTATATTAAATATAGATTATTACGAAATTTCTTACATGACCTTCTAACATTTTGAAGATACACATATCATATTGACGAACTACGTACCTGTTTGTTGTTTTCATTTTAAACTTCCGTGATACATTCGATTTCTGAATTTGACCTTTTCAATATTTGGACATGTATTCCTAACGGTCACGTACTTTCTTTTCGTATGAATATTTCCAAATACAAAAACAAACTCTGAAATCGAATGAAGAAGCCGTAGGTATAGCCGGCAAGTTAAAAGCAGTCTACCATAAAGACAAATTAGTATCACGTGCTATCATTAGAACAACTAAGCAATAGAGAGACCTCCTCTACAAAGGACTGTACATAAATACATGTTAGTGAATGTTTACAGAGACTAAATAATAAATTGTTATAGAGTATTGATATATCCGTGTCTTTGTGACAAACCCATATTTTTTAATTAATACAATAACATAATGTCCAATCGTTTCAACGATTTGATTGCGCCCTGTATATTTGTACTTTTTTTTATTTTATCGGAAGAAAATGTCTATCCGGTCCACGTTTCATTTTTATTAATTTTATGTATTATAGCGTTTTATTTCGTTATTTAACATTATTTTTTATTTAAAACTTGATGTAAAGGAAATATTTTATGTTTGTTCTGTTTATTTATATTTAACGGAATCACTTAGTGGTTGGTAATTTCACATAGTGTACCAAATAAGATGAATGTCTAATGTATATAGTATATCAAATTATAAAGTGTTTATGTGATATTATATATAGTTAAGAGTTAAACCGTGCCGAGTAGTTTTTCTATGTGGTATCAGTTGTGATTTTTTCAATAAACAAATTGCTATATTTTAATGTGTTTTTAATTATTGTGATCGTATTAATGAAGGCTTGTCCGTCCCTTCGGCTCACCACTCAATTTTCAAAATATCATATCAGTTCAAATTTGTCATTCTAAATTTGATCGTATAAAAACCTCCACTTCACCAGGGCCAAAGCAGAAGTATGATTATCTGAATTGACCTGATCAAAGTTAAAAATCACACTATGTTTGGTATTAAACGGCAATTTTATGGCAAGAAATCCATAGAATCATTGCAATTAATTTATGTTTATCTTAGAAGATAGATTTATAGAATTGTATTACATCTTTCAAGGGAAATATTTCGTAGTCCATTGTTTGTACGTTAATATAGTATAATCAGCATGTTTTTTTAATAATTTCAAGTCGTCATATTTTACCTAAATTACCACAACAAATAATGACTCATAATTCCCCCTTTTTTTGCGAAAACCCCCTCGGATACCACCCACCGGTGGTTATGTCGGACTCGAACCGACCAAAAACCGCACGCCGTCTCGGGAAGGAAGGAAGGAAATCCCTGGTACCCCAGGCCCTCTACGGCACGTCGCATCCCCAACCCGGCCTGCTTCTGCTAGGGTGATAGATGGCTACCAGGGATTTCCTTTCTAAGGTACACCTGGTTCCCCGGCAACTGGTACCCGAGACGGCGCACTATGGAAAATCGAGGTCTGTTTCAGATCAAAAATCAGTAACTTTTTTATTCGTCGAGAAAGACGATTGTATTTTAGCACAAGCATAGAGTATTATATAAGGCTTCAGATAAAGACAACACTATTTATATACATATAATTTTTATGGAAAAGCGAGCATACGAGCAAACGGGTCACCTGATAGAAAACGACTACCGCCGCCCATGAACGCCTGCAACTCAGGAGTCACAAGCGCGTTGCCAGCCTTTGAGAAAGGAGTACGCTCTTTTCTTGAAGGTTTGAAGGTCGTGTCGGTCCGGAAATACCGCAGCCGATTACTTGTTCCACAGGATGGTAGCGCGAGGCAAAGGGTCTTGAAAAGCGCACAGTGGTGGAGCGCCAATTGTCCAAGTGGTGGTCCTCGGAAACCTCTCCATAGTATATACGATAGAGAATGCAGAGCGAAGCTACATCTCTACGTAACGCCAAGGGATCGAGCCGGTCGCAAATCTTTTGGCTATCGACGATTCGAGTCGCTCTTCTTTGGATACGGTCCAGAGGGAGAAGCTTGTACTGTGGTGCCCCTGCATAGAGATGAGAATTCCATATGCGGTCGGACTTGCGCCTTATAGAGTTGGAGGCGATGGGCTGGAGTGAAATACTGCCTCGATCTGTTCTGCACACCGAGCTTATTCGAGGCCAATTTGACCTCACCCTCTAAATGACCGTGAAACTGGACTTCTCTCGATGCCTAGGATTGCAATACAGTCATTGTTGTAGGCAGTCCCAGGATGATGATGTCTGATTTACCTGACATCAAATTTGATGGTGTTGTACTTTCAATTAGTGCTTGTGTTAAAAACCT